TATATATATAAGAGAGATGAGCACAAAGAAGAGGGGATTATCATCCATTATCTCTTCTTATTTTGTGAGTTGTTTGATACCATAATGTCATGCTAAGACTCCTAGCTAAGGCTAGGGGTGAAACTCTTAATGAAGCAATAGTACTTTTACTTTGATCCTTCAATGTTTTGTACCATGTTTGGGTACAACAACAATTCGACAACTAAAGGATACGTGTTAGATTTTGAGCTAGCATCTTGCTTCCTCCTTATAATACCCCTTTCCATAGTAAGACTACATTACTTATCTTTCATATCAAGGCCATGTTGCCTACTCGATACTACATGGTCCATGGGCATATCCTCTTATCTTGCACACTGATAACACATTGTCAATAGCGTGTACATAGACTGTTATTTATATTGCATGTTGACATCACATCACTTGCCTTGTGTTGCTCGCGTTAAACCGAAATTGTCCATATCACATACCTATATCACATTTCTCACTCTAAGATTGCATTGATTACACTAAGACTACATTGTCCATATTAATTATAAGATGACATTCCAATCTTCTAAACCCGAGCCAGAGATTGTGAGATGGTCCTAGTACTTGAAATATATGGCCTAAAAGTAGTCCATGCTATCCTAAGTCGAAGGCCTAAAAACCAGTCTCTGGATTAAATACTTGTTATTGTCACCTCCTACAGCAATTTCTTATGCGTTACCCCGCGCTCCCTCCTCAAGCCACTCACTCTCTTTCTATCACAACTTTGTAAAGTGCATCATTCTCTCATGGTAGCATACTAGCATCAACAAGGCTCCCTCTACAACTTCTTGAAGGGATCAGCAATGGTGATACGAAAAGCTCTTCTCGGCTTCAGGAAGTCAATTACTGAACTCAGCCTAAAGATCAATCACTTATCACATTGTACGTATGTAGATCTCTTTGTACAGCCATATCTTTTGTCTTGATCTTACATTGTACAAGGAGGTATGCCCCCTTGATCATTGTACTTGATAGACTTTTTATATACTCGTTCCCCTTACCAAGAAGTACAGCAAAGGCTCTCTAACAGAAAAACTCGAGTTGCCATATCACGACAATTCTACGTCTCACTGACAAGGATCGTAATCACAGTGCCATCACACATCAGTACGGTATCACAAGAACCCCATCAATAATAATAGGAAATGTATAAGAAAATGACCAGATTAGAGAACTTCAAACATCTGGACTGGTTTGGATTCTATTTAATAGACATAGTTAAGGTATATCATACAAGTGCAAGGAATGCATATAATCCAAATTTATACATGCATAATCCATGTGTAGCATGTGTGAGCTTTAAGCATAGAAGTCCACTCATGGGAAAAATCAGTAGAGTTCACTTGGTCATTGAATCATCAAAAGTTTCATGTATCTATGAACTGGAGTTTCTGCATCATACTTCTTTCCAGAGAAAGTGATGCAACCTATTTACCAAGTTCATACTGCCTCCCTTTGAGACAAACAGATGTAGATGTAACCTAATTATCAACTGTAACTACAGAAAGAAGAATAAACATATTGCCATCACTTTCAAAAGACCACAGCATGACATCAGAATGACATAAGTTTGGCATTAGTCTTGAAGTCAATGAATGCAATCCTAATGCCTTGAAGTGAGAATAAACATTCATGATCATTTTGATATCAGAATAAACATTCATGGCCATTTTACCTGTTGCAAATGAAGGCAATCCTAATGCAAGATCAGAGGCATCATTTGGAATTCGTCTTGAAGTCCTACGGCTGTCAACTTCTTCTAAATCATCATCATCCTCAAAATCATCAATGTCATCAACTGATAGTTCTTGCACTTGTGTGGAGTTAAGAGACTCTTCAACATGCATGGAATCAAGAGACTCTTCCACATGTGTGGAGCTAAGAGATTGTGATTTTAAAAGACTTGGCATAATGGGGGATGGTGTAAACAAAGGAGCAGATGGTGGAGCCCGTTTTGGTGGTGAGCCTGAAGATTCGGAATTTGTGACCAAAAAAAACTCATCTGTAGAACCCATATTATTCTGGGGGAAAAAAAAATCATACAAAGTTAAGTTCCAGAAACAAAAGTAAATAGTTTACGATGCTCCATTTTATGGAAAATAATTTAAAACCAGAAATTCTAAACTGCAAGCAGATTCAAATGTAAATAATATATAGATATATATATATAATAAAATAAAACCTACTAATAACTTATTTCAAATAAATTTAAATTAAGCAAGTATTAAAATTTTATCAGCTTGCAAATTCTAGAAATGCATAACAACAAATAAGTGAATACGAGAGGAAATGAACAGCATTTTCCAGCTTACTATCATATGTGGGAAAAGAGTACTGTCATGGTAATCTCTAATAGCTTCTGACAGTTCAAGCATCCCTCCTGCATTAAGAAAAACTCATTAGAAGAAAAAATTCCTTCAAAACAAAAAAATATAGAAAGTCAAAAACACAGAAAACAAGGTGTTGTGTTCACAATACCAACCTTTCTTCACACAACCAAGTACATATTCAACACTGACTTGATCTAGATCCACATCATCCAATGAAACCGCGCCGGGGGGCATTACTACTTTCTTAATTAAGCTACCAGAAAGTATAAAATCAAGAAGTATACGCCTATCCCGCCGATATCTTTGTAGAAGCTCAACCGCATTGTCCCTATATTTACAGGAAATCAGAAGAATGTCAATTAAACCCTTTTCTTTTTTCGTTTTTTTTCTGGGCATTGAAATTCTAATGGAGATATTGGTATAAGAATGGTGCGTACTCTTCTTCCATGGTAACTACAGAAATATATCACACAGAGTAAATGCAGGAGAAGCCAAAACTTCCTTCAACACCTAAAAACAAGTAAAGTAGTTGTTTAATGTACTGGAATTACAAAAAGCTCTCTCTATAGATATATAGCATACAAATCAAGCAAAAATCAGCATCAATCACAAGGTAAAACTGATTGAATCTTGCGAATGCAACTGTAAATTTCAAGTATACCACAAAATTGAATGAATCAAAGCTGAATTTAACTTCAAAATATTGAGGGATTTAGTATACCAGTTTCGTGATGAGTCCAAATACTTCAACAACAACCAAAAAAAAAAAAAAAAAAAGCTCTAGAGTGAAATAGGAAAATAAAGGAAGAGAGAGAGAGAGAGACCTGAACGTCGATGGGAGCCGAGACATTAGATTTGGTCATACTAAATAATCTGAATCATTGTATACAAAATTATGCTAACCGGTTAATCTCCCTAACAAAAATACTAGATGCACACAGGATTTTATTCAGAAAATTACGTGAGATTCACGTGTGAGTGTTTTTCAAAAATACTAGATGCACACAGGATTTTATTCAGAAAATTACGTGAGATTCACGTGTGAGTGTTTTATGAAAAATAAAAATAAAAATAAAAATTATCACTGTGTTTGTTTGAGTTTTTTGGATTAAGTTTTTTGAAAATTGAATTTTTTGATTTTTGTAATTTTTTTGTTTTTAGTGAATATTTTTAAAATTTTAAATATTTTTTTTACTTTTTTAGATGCACCTTACTTAAATGTGTATAAAAAGTAAAAAAATTGTGAAAAAATATTTTAAAAAATTAAGAAATACATAAAAATATAAAAAATGTACTAAATTCTTGTATTTTTTTGTATTTTTTGTATTTAGTGAATTTTTAAAAGATTTTTTTTACAATTATTTTACTTTTTAGGTGTATTTATGTTAAGTGTGTCTAAAAATTAAAAAAAAATGCATAAAATATTTAAAAAATTTAGTAAAAACAAAAAAACACGAAAAATAAGAGTGTAGAATTTTCTGAAAAATGTTTTTAAAAAATGGGAACTAAGCAATCTCTAAGTACACCTTAGAGCATCTCCAATGGTTGTTGCTATATTGGGGTTGCTATTGCTATAATTTGGCAATGAATAGTGTTATTTTGCCAAATTATAGTAATGGTGCTCTAATAGTTATTTGCTATTTTTGGCAAATCTCAACCAACTTTCCCTCCAACTTTGTAGGTGTTGTTTGGATATAAGTTTTTTGTGATTTTATTTTTATTTATTTTTTGTCTTTTGTGACATTTTTTTATCTATTTGTTAAAAAAAAATTATATATTTATATTATTCCCAACTAGACAAATATAAAAAATAAAAAAAAATGAAAAATTGGAAAAAAAAAATTGTTTGATTAATTCACCCCACCAAAAAACATATCATTACATATTTAATAAATTTTTTTAACTGCACATAAAAAATAAAAAATGTCTTTTAATATCTTTTTATTCCAATAAAATGTTCATCATTTAATGTCTTTTTATTTTACAATGTCTTTTAATGTCAGTTAATGTCTTTTTTTACATTGTGAAGTACAAAATACTCAAAAATGTTTCTTAAAACAACATGAAATAAATGATATTGCAAAAAAGACTAACAATTACATCAAAAAATAAATGATATTCCAAAAAATAAAGACTAACATTTATCCCGTAATTATTCATCAGGAGGTATGGGGAAATAAAAATTTGGGCTGCTCACATTTGAGGACTACTTGGCGAAAATCTCATTTTTTCACATGGTGTAATACGCTTTCATCTGAGGGTCCAAATGAGAAATGTCCACAGTCATTATTTGGTGTTCTTCCTTTCTCATCTCATGTTCTTGTCTTCTGATCTCGAAGTCATGTTTTTTCATCTCATGTTCTTGTCTTCTGATCTCGAAGTCAAGTTCTTTCATCTCAAGTTCTTTCATCTCCTGCATTGCTTGAATCTTTTTTTTCTTCTCTTTCATCTTTTTTCTTTTCCTTCTCAGCAAGGTATTGGTTAAATGTGTCCAATTATGTACTCATATTTCGAACTTCAGCTTGAACGACTTGATTTTTTCGAAATAATTCTTTTGCAGATTTCCTACCCATCGGCCTTTTACCCCTTGCAGAGACACTACCCTCACCAGCAATTGGATTGTTACCAACACTTGGACTGGTGTCATCTTCAAGAGAAATGCAATTATCCATAGGGGAATCGGGGGCTGAATCAAGGGAAAATGGTGTATGTATCCTTGACTTCACCGTATTCGTAAGAGTTACATCTTGCCACCTGATATTGTTTTGCAAGATTGACCAACAATGTTCAAAAGCAAAATGTTTCTTTTCATCTTGATGGTATAAAAATTTTGCTTGAAGCATCTGTATCAATATTGAATTAAGTAAGTATCAATAAAATAAAATAAAATATGAGATCTTACTAGATAAAATAAAATATGTATCAATATTGAATTAAGTAATTATTTAATTTTTTTATGAGACGAAATAAAATAAAATAAAAACTAACGTAATAAATGAAGATGAAATCTTACTAAATCAACTTGAGACATCCCACTTGGGTGTAGATTTTCGACTTGCGCTAAATATCTACGAAATTTGTTAGAACATTTCATGATTGTACCCCATCGAGATTGGATAGAAACTTGTGTTCTTGACTGATCATTCTGAAGGGAGCAATAATTTTCATAAATTCTCCCCCAAAAGTGAGTATAAGATTGTGAATTACCAACAATTAGATCTTCAGAAATTTGACACCAAGCTTTACAAAGTGCCATATCTTCAGCAATGGTGAATGATTTTCCTCTCTTTATTTTTGATGAACCTTCCATACCGATTGTGTAAAAAAAATATAAATAAAAATAAAAATGTAATTTAGAAAATTTGTTGTTAAATGAAATTGAGTAAAAAGAGAGCACAAAATGTTTGTATTTATAGAAAAAAAAGAGTCGTTTTAACATAAAAAAGAGCCGTTTTATTTTTAAAGCCGTTTTTATAGCCGGTTTGTGTTCATCCTTTTTTTTATAGCCGTTGTAGATATATGTTTCAATTATGCTTTTATTTAATTTTTATTTATTTTTAATGAATAAAGTAATCCACTCATGAATAAAGTAAACCCAAGTTCAATCAACTTTAGGAAATTTCCAAATCCACTCTTGAAAGAGACAGAGGGCTTCGAAACTTGAGAGAGAAAGAGAGAGAGAAAGCTTCGGATGAGTGAAGATCAGAGGGAAGAGGGAAAGTCAGAGGGAAGATCAGAGCTTCGGATGAGTGAAGATCAGAGGGAGAGACCTTCGGATGAACTTCGGATCAACTTTAGATCAATGAAGATGAACTTCCAACCCTTTTCAACCCTCGGATCAGTGAAGATTTTTTTCAGATCAGTGAACTTCAACCCTCGGATTAGGTATTTTTCTTGGATTATTTGAGATTACCTCTCATTAATCTTGCTCCTTCAACCCTCCTTCTACGCTGCTCTTGGATTATTTTCAGCCCCGATCTTCTGCAAATTTGCTGCAAAAAAAAATATTTTGATGAATTTGATGAAATTCGTAGCAAAAAAAATTGATGAATTCGTATAAAAAAAATTCATGAATTCGTATAAAAAATTGATGAATTCGTAGCAAAAAAAATATTCCCAAGCAAAAAAAATTCGTATAAAAGTTCGTATATATTTTAATAAGTGAAGATGAATTTGATGAATTTGATGAAATCTTTTTAAATCTGTTTTTGGTATGAATTTGATGAATTTGATGAATATTGATGAATTCTAAAATATTGATGAATTCTTGTTCATTCTTTTTAAATATTGATGAATTTGATGAATATTGATGAATATTGATGAATAAAATTAGTGAATATTGATGAATTTGTTCATTCTTGTTCATTCATGAATATTGATAAATCTGGAAAATCCCAACCGAAAGGGAAGGAGGGAAGGAAGGAAAAGAGAAAACAGTTAATTTTGGGTGACTTGGCAGATTTGGTAGCTGCCAAAGTAGTTGCCAGGTTTGGCACTTGATTTGGCAGTTGCCAAATTTGGCAGCTGGTATAGCATGCCATTGGAGAAGCCAAGATTGTCCAAGCTACTATATTATGGCTTTGGCAGCTGATATAGCCATCCATTGGAGATGCTCTTAGACCTCCCAGCCTATTTTAGTAATTTCTTAACTTTTTAGCTAAAATATGAGGTAAAAAAAAGGTGATTCTACTTACACCACTACTTTACCTCTTTACACCCTCCATATGAGTTTTTTTTTTTTTTTTTTTTTGTGAAATTACCTTTAAAGACAAAACATTAAAATTACATATATTTTTTTATCTCCTTACACTCCTTAGTCTTCAATCCCTACTCCTCTTTTTCCTTTCTTTTCTCTTAAACATCTCTTTTCAAAAAGTGAGAATCATAATATTTTGATCATTAAAGAAAGCAATGGATGAAGAAACAGCGATGAAGAACTATCAAAAAAGTGAAATTGTGAGTTTTTTTATTTATTTATTTGGTAGGTTTTTGTTTCGTTTTTCTAAACTGGTATTCAACTTTCATTTAGTGGTTCGAAATAGAACAAAATAAAATAGCTCGGCATCACATTGCCGAACAAAAAATATAAGTTTAGTAACCAACTACTGAATAAAAGATACATTTTCGGTAACCCCAAATCAAATTTTTTTAATTTGTTCAGCTTCTCATTACCATGTATTTTCAGTTTCATTTTTTTATATTATATTTTTTTTTTTGGAAGGATTATACTTATACTCATTGCAATAACGCAAGTACTGCAATATTAGTGGACTCTGGTCATGAATTTATTACAGATAACGTTTGTTAAGTTTTTTTTATGAATACGATTTTTTCTCATTTTTAATTTGTATTGAGTTTTATCAATAATTTGACATATAAATGTATTTATTATCTTTAAATTTTTAGTAGTCGTGAAGCATTAATTAAATGGGCTTCTAACGTTGGAAAGAAGATTGGATTTGTCATTATTATAAAAACATTAGATGCAGAAGGCAATGACAGAAAACCAAGACTTATACTTGCTTATGAAAGAAGTGGTTACTATAGAGACAACAAGAAGATTAAGGGGGAACGATTGAGGTTAACAGGTTCTAAAAAGTGTGGATGTCTATTTCTATTAAAGAGAAAAATTACCTACAAATTACCAAGACGAATTGTGATAACATGTTTGATTGATAGATGTAAACAGTGACAGATTTTATGGATATTTGTACACTTGATATTTTTATGAATAATTTTAT